ACAGTATGTCCTACGGGTGTGTATACCTACAGTATGTCCTACGGGTGTGTATACCTACAGTATGTCCTACAGGTGTGTATACCTACAGTACGTTCTACAGGTGTGTATACCTACAGTATGATACCATTAACCTTCTGTAGGCTTTGCTATGCTTTGGTGTCAAATAGCATCTAATCTCTTGTGTGTGAATTGAAATGGTAATTCCTCAAAGTTGATCTGGTAATTGTTCAGTATGAAGTCCTATATGATCAAATTTTATCAATAAAAAGTTTCTCTTATATTTCAGACTTATATTTCTTCCTTCATACTTCTCACTTGTTAGAGATATCAATAAAACACTGCAAGATGCTGTTTCATATAGATTTAAGGCACTCTTCCTTTCATTATTGCAGCCAATCAGGTCTCAGTTTACATTTTATGGAGATTATTCACCTGGATGTGATGAGCCTCGTGCAAAGGACACAGAAAACTGGCAACAGACATTTGAACAGTTACAGCTAATCCTCAGAGAAGCTGCTAAGTCTGCCGCTGGTGCCGGCAAAATGTCTGCTAGCACTCTCCATGAGTATTTCCAGTCAGGTAAGACTGAATACTGACAAAATTGTCCCCTAGCACTCTCCAGCATCAATTACAAACTGTCACTTAGCAATTTCCAGGATAAAGCACAGATGAAATGTCTCCTAGCTCTCTCTAGGACAAAATGTTCCCCAGCACTCTCAAGTTTTCTTTTAACTAGAAAATGTACTTTTGCTTCAAAATGTGGCAGAGCTTTTATGTCTCACAGACATTGTCTGGTTTATGATTTTTATCTAACATAAAGTTGTTTTTATCAAAATATAAATGTTATAGAAATGACAAATGTTATCCCTCAATAGCTGAAAATAATATTTAGTGAACCCAAATATATGATATATGGTCCAATACATTGAAAGAACTATTTATGGTGAAATATTTATCTAAGATGACCAAATACGGAGATATGATATATAAAGAGGACCAAAATGTGAGCTTATCAATGTTGATAGAATATAGGGTTATCGTTATTCAACATAACAATATACATGTAACTTGATCAAATTAATCAAAATGACCAAATTTGGTAATGTAATTATTTAAGAGAATCATCTTTAGTAGCAGAGTTAGGCTTTATTTCAGTACTATGGTTATGCATAAGCTGAAGTTGGGTATAGTGTATACCTTTGGAAAGTTGAAGATGACAGTATGTCAGGAGAGTTGTGATTTTCTTTTTAAAATATCAGAATTGAGTCCAGGAATTTATTGTCAAGAAGCATACAAATTGAAATTCTTTGGTGAAGAAATGCTTCAATGTCGAGCAAATGGTAATGCAAGTTAGTGTGGTAATTTGGAGTTGAATTTCAGACCATTATATTGTAATTTTGTGATGTTTCAGTGACAGAGACGGAGATAAAATCAGGGATACTTGATGTGTCTGACCAAAGCGGCCACACTATGGTTTACTCACGATCCTTAACTGGGCTTGATAACGAGTCTGTTGCTGACAAAGACGCCAGAAGATATATAGAGATCAAAGACACCAGTGGAAAGGTCTGTAGCTGTATTTTTGAGTTACTTACCTTAGCATTATCAACTGTTTATATAAGGGAAGTAACTATGTCATCTGTAGGTCATATTTTAATCTCACTCCCGTGCTGAAATAAAATTGAACTATTGAGCTGTAGTATAATGTATGTAAGGTGTTAGAAGAGTGATGGCAGGGTATGTTGTCAGTTTCATTGTGTAGTGTTGGTAGATCAAGGTTGTTCTGTAGTAGTGTAACGGGAGGGATGTACTTATGTGTGCACCCGCTCCAAGTACGTGTACTGCCCGGTGCTACCGGATCAACCCAGGTTGGAATTGAGTTGTTTTGCGTGCTATTGGCTAGCAGAAATAATGTATAAATACTTATAAACAATTAACATAAATTTATTAACAGTGACATGGAATACAGAGACTAGGTACACAACATTCGCACAAACACCTACCGCAGCGGTAACAACAAAACGAAAGCGTGGCACTCATCACATGACAGAAACCTTTTGAGACAACCCCTCTACTCACACATACATACCACTATACTCTACAAACCACCCATCAACATTCTAAACTATTTACTACTAACCCACACGGCCTACAGAAAAGATAAGAGAGAGCGAGAGAAGAAATGTGACCGTCGGCTCACAAAATTAATCGTAACAGCGGCAAACTTACTTGGAAGCACCGGGTTATATAATCCAATATCACAATTAACAAGACACCGACCAATCAGACGCTCGGATAGAATGCACCTGACTATTAATAATCTCTAAACCAAAATACTTCCGTTTCATACTCGGAGAAAGCAAGCAAAGTGCTGTCTATCACAGATACGGGACGGAACAGGTGATGAATAACGACACCTAGCTAAACTTTGCATAAAAATAAATACTAAATACTGAGAGGCTATGGTTCAATGACGAGAAGTAAACAAATTTGGAATGATTCGACAGTCATAAAAACCAACCCCATTTCAGTAGTATATAAATCATTTTGTGTTAAGGAGTAGTGATAAAATAAAATTTTCTTCTATTTGCAGCTTGAAGTTGATACTGTGGTTAAAAGTCTACGGGATGAACTTTTGAACAAAATAAAGAAGACACTGAAAGGTACAAATTGTCGTGAGTATGAAGTTCCGTGGATATCAGGAGGTATAGAACCAAACTCAAATGAGGCACACGCACAATACATTGAAAGTTTTTGTCATGACTTTCTGTCTGACATGAAAGTGCAAATAAAGGATGGAATGACAGACTACCTGCCAAAGATCCGTTTTTCTGAATGGTACACTGATTATGTTGAGCTGATCCATCACCTCCAGTTCTGTAACACCAAGTGTGAGACATTCTGTGGACAGACCGATGTTCTGAATGGTGTCCGGTCCTACATTCTAACTGACACGTCACGGAAGCCCCTTGTGCTCCATGCCCCTTCTGGTGCAGGAAAGACATCAGTCATGGCCATGATCATGAAAACTCTGCCATCCTGGTTTAAGAAGCAGAAGCATGTGAAACTGATCCGTTTTCTCGGTACAAGTCCTCTAAGCACCAATATCTATGATGTTTTGTTTGGTGTGTGTGGACAACTCGCTGACCATGCAGAGATCATCATGGAACCAGTCTCCTATAAGAACATGAAGAATTTGTTGGAGTATGTGCCCAGGCTTCTTCGACGGGTTGCTAGTGCCATCAAATCTCCAATTGTCATTCTTCTTGATTCTTTAGACCAGTTGACAGCCAATCATGATGCACATTCGTTGGCATGGTTACCCACCATACTACCATCCAATGTCAAATTAATTCTGTCCACACTGCCAGAAGAACATGGTATTCTTGACACACTGAGAGACATACTCCCAAATGACCAGTGTTACATCGCAGTTCCCCCACTCTCCATGACGACCGGTAAAGAGATAATCAGTAAATACTTAGGTCAGAGGAAGCGAACCGTGACAGACAACCAGCTCAAGCTTCTTATGTCCTATTTCACTCAGGATCCAGGTCCACTTTATCTCAAACTGCTGTTGGATGAGGCAGTCAAGTGGAATTCTTACACTCCCGAACATGAATATGTACTTGCCAATGCAGTCCGAAGTGCTATCTCACAGTTATTCAAAAACTTGGAGACTAAATTTGGGGAGGTGTTTACAAATCATGCCCTCGGTTACATCACTATTGCCATGAATGGTGTGTCTGAAACAGAGATGGAGGACGTACTCTCCTGTGATGACGAAGTTCTCAACAATGTATACCGCTACCATAATCCACCTGTAGAGGGCATAGTTCGCATACCTCCAGTCCTCTGGGCTCGTCTCCGCTACGATCTCAAGGAATATCTTGTGGAGAGGCAGACTCACAACAAATACACACTGAACTGGTACCACAGACAGTTCATAGAGGCTGGACGTGCTATGTACACTCAGGGAAAGGCAGGTCAGAAACTTCACACGAACTTCTCTGAAATCTTCATGTCCCAATCAGTCAAGCGAACCATCGAGCTGGATTGGAGGAAAACAACCATAGAAAATGCTGACCGGCAAATCACACCCCAAGCTATGGTGAGCAAAAACAGGAGAATGTTGTGCTGTCTTCCCTACTATATCAACAATGCTAAAGAGATGATCTCATCAAACCTAGCAAAAGAAAAATGCTTCTGCAACTTTCACTTCCTGAAAGCAAAAGTTGCTGCTTTTCCTTTGACAGCTCTGCAAGAGGACCTCACAGCATTTGTGGATAGAACAGAAGATGAGGAAGTACAGAAGCTCAGATACTTCTTTTCTGTTTGCAAAATAGAGGATCTTGGCAATTCAGAAAAATTTGCTGTCAGCCTACTTGCTAAAATATCATTGACAGAAGGGGAAGCCAACTTGGAGAGATTGCTAGCTGTGGCTTTGGAATATTTACAATCTAAAAACAAACCTTTGCTGATTCCAAAGTATGCCTGTATGGCTCCTGGTACAAACACATCCAGTGCCATGAAGGATTCCATCAGAGGTTGCGAAAAAATCCTATCTGTGGGTGGAGACTCTGTCCTGTTACGATTGTGTGGAAAGGAAACAGATGAGGAGAGCCAAGATCTGCATGCAGTTTACAACACAGTCACAGAGGAGCAGCAACAAGTCAGTCTTCCTGATATATTCAGCAATGGACTGATGGCAAGGTTAGATCGAGCTAGTAAGAAAATCTATTATCTCCACAACAGACAAATCAATACAGTTAACCTTTTCAAGAAAGTCACAATGAACAAGAAGTTATCAGAGGTGTGTCCAGAACTGACTGCTGAGACCAGCCCTGTCATGTCTGCCTTTGACGCAGAATCCTCCTATATGGCCATTCTGTTTGATGATAGCAGTCTCCTGGTGATTGATCTCAGCTCCATGAAGTCGCTGAAACTGATGACCTTATCCGTGGATGCAACTGATATTGTCAACTTGGTGTGTACTGGCTGGGACAGTCCTGCTGTCATTGCCACAGGCAAATGTGAAGACGCTGAGAACGGGAAAGCCATAAAGGGATTTGTACAACTTTTTCAACCCTCGGAAGAAAACAACGATACAATTAAAGAAACTCCTGCTTCTTTCTCAAGTGGCCTGGTATGTTTGGGATCATCAGAGGACTTTCTTATTGGACTGTGTAATACTGAAACCTCATGTACGCTGTTGGCTATAGAGCTAGATGAGCTTGACATGGTGAGTGAGATGTCTCTTTCAGATGTCATGATTCAGATGTCTGTTGCGAAGAAACAACAATTGGCTGCGGTCCTGTCTCAGAAGGGTGTTGTCAGCTTAGTGAACTGGAAAGAAGAGAAAGTCCTCAGTGAGCTGTCTACGAACAATCCTGTGTCCTGTCTGTATGTCAACTGGTCACACAACCTGGCAATGCTTGGTGACTCCCAGGGCCAGATAGTGTTATACAACATACGCAGAAACAACCACTGTGGTACTTTCCCTGCTCACCAAAACAGCATGCAGCGACTGGTGGGTACAGAGGAAAATGTCATTTCCCTTGGCATCAATAAAGACATGAAGATCTGGGCCATATCTGCCCTTACACAGAATATCACACAGCCCCACACAAGCTGTGATACAAGTTCTCACAGTCTGCTGGGTCAGACACAGGTAGCCAGTCTTGATATCACTCTGGACAGTCTAGAACTTGTTACTGCATCACGAGATAATACGGTCAGTGTCTGGTCACTCACAGACATGTCACTAACACGCACTGTTGACATCTCCATCGTAGGGGACAAGATTCAGGTGATATCCAAAGAAAGCTGTGTGGCTTTAGATAGAACTGATAGGAGAGTTAAAATATTCAAATTGAAGAATGGTGATAGTGCTGTTGACTGTGATCTTCCAAAAGGTGCATTGGATTTCACTGTTAGCCAGGACCGTTCACTTATGTGTATCCTCTGCCAAAAGGAGAAAGGACTCATGGTTGATGTCATGGACCTTAAAGTTGGGCAGTCAAAGAAAACCTTTTACTTAAAAGGCGTTCCTGATTATGAAACAATTGACATTTGCCTTAGTGCAAACAGTAGATTTATCTTGTTACGTACAAAAGTGACAGAGGCAGACTTCAAGGAGATAGAGGCATCTTGGAAGAAGCAAGGGTCTTTCCTTCCTCAGCCCCATCCTTATCGTTTCAGCGCCGCTGACCTAACTCAAGCTACAGGAGGGCTTATGCACTGCATGAGGACAATGTCCAAGATCCCTCACCTTGGAGAAGTCATGACTCCCAGCCAAGGGAATATTATGATGCTTACAACCCGTCGTTGGGTATTGTTCTGGGATATTCCAACTGGCAAGTGTGATCAGAAGGTGAGCAAAGTGGAGAAGAAGGGAATGATGTACCGTCCAGACTGGATGGGACAGGATTGTAAAGGAACAACTCTGACCATTACTCAGAGCGTCAATGGAAAGTATGTAGCTCTTGGGTCAGAAGATGGCTACCTCTTTGTCTACCACACTGACTCGGGTCTACCTGTGCAGAATATGGCTCCTTCTTCCAAACACACTGCGACGGTAAGTACAGGAAGTGTGGAAAAAACAAAAAAATCAATGTTTATTTTTGATGAAGATACTCTTTTAATGTCTTTAAATTGTTCTGTAGTAGAAAGTTATATAATTTGTGACATGAAAATGAACCATGCAGCAGATCTAAAGATATGGTATTATAAAAGTGATAAAAGTTCCTCATAGAGCTTAAAAGCTGGTACTAATTATATTTCCTTTAATAGTAAATGTTACCATATTGTTTTGTGACCACGTTTATTTTTGTAGGTGATAGTGACAGCATTTTCGCCAAACAATGAGTGGGTGGCTTCGGCATGCCGAAACAACACAATCAAGATTTGGGAAGCATCTACAGGCGAAGAGGTGTTTAGCACTAGGGCCAACTTTGAGGTAGTCAGCATGTGTTTTTCTGCCAACTCCCTGACCCTGGTGGTGTCCATTGGATCACAAGTCACAAGAATTCTTGTATATACACTCCACACAGGATGTTAGCCGATACTATGTACAACAAAAAGTGTTACCATTTGGACTCAACGGTGAAACCAAAAGGCACTCAATGTTGTTTGCATTGGACTCAAACAGTGTTTCAACCATTGGAAACACTGATGTTACCTCTCAAGTGTCCTCAAATGGTGTCATTACTGGTACCATCGAGACACATAGTGTTACCGTTCAGACTCAGCAATAATACCATGGAGATTCACTAGTGTTTTCATTAAAAGTAGAAAATGCCATAACTATTCGCTAGAACTAAACAAACTATTAGGGCTAGAAAATATCCTCATTAGGACAAGAAATCCTAGTACTTCGACAAGAAAATGACTTAAAAGATCTACATAGTGCCATCACTAGAATTTGAAAATACGAAAATCAGGACTAGATCATGCATTGTTATCAATTAATTATAAAGTGACACATTTTGTGATTATGACAGTAGAAGATGACATTGAAAGTGAAGGACCATCAACACCATCAGTGTACAAGTCTGTTTGACAGATAAACATCACATTCAATGGACCAAGAAGGTATCTGCGACACTTGCATACTTACTGACAGAGGTTCAGTACACAGTAGTCTATCAGCTGGTGAAGATTGTTTGGTAGTGAAAGTTTTTCTTGTTGACAGAGAAATATGATTCTATTATAAATATAAAATGTCGGTGAATTATTATCTATTTTTTTCATATTGATATAGTAAAATTGCTTCTGAAAAGTTTATGGTTCCTTTTAAATCATATAAGATTTTTTTTTAAATTCTACAACATCTTCAAATCAGACATTTGTTTATATGTAAACGTAAATGTTGTGTGACATTGTTATGAAATCAAGAGAATTTTATCTGCCTATATTTGAAGTGGTATAAACATTTACTGGTTTGTGTTGCGGGGAAATTTCATGGTCTTTCTTTATCGATAGATGTTGGTTTCTTAGAAGTACTTAAATGTACTTTAGAAATTGCGTGACAATATTGAGACTTTGAGTTTAAACGAGATGTTTGTATCTTAAGTTAAAAGTGAGATTCACACAGAATGAGTTGTAAGGCTAAAAGGGTGAAGATCATATCTACTCTATGACATATTTATTGTGTATCAATTTTACTATCCTTTTAAGATAACAATTCATTATAAAGTGTATTTAAGTCGTCTTGTGAAGTGGCAGATATGGAAACGACTGATATCATCACCACTTTGTCAGCTAATGTAGAATATATGTCTGTTGTTATTTAAGGCTCATGTGAGGCCTACATCCTGATCCGAGGGTAATTTGATGACATTATTCTTGTGTACTGTCATGACATCAGTCCTGTGTACTGTCGTACTCGCATGACATCGATCCTGGGTACTACAATGGCTTTGGTCAGGTATAGTGATGACATCGTTCCTGTGTTCTGCAATGGCGTTGGTCAGGTATAGTGATGACATCGTTCCTATGTTCTGCGATGGAGTTGGTCTGGTATAGTGATGACATCGATCCTGGGTACTACAATGGCTTTGGTCAGGTAAAGTGATGACATCGATACTGGGTACTACAATGGCTTTGGTCAGGTATAGTGATGACATCGATCCTGGGTACTACAATGACTTTGGTCAGGTATAGTGATGACATCGGTCCTGGGTACTACAATGGCTTTGGTCAGGTATAGTGATGACATCGATCCTTGGTACAACAATGGCTTTGGTCGGGTGTAGTGATGACATCGTTCCTGTGTACTACGATGGCGTTGGGTAGGTGTAGTGATGACATCGTTCCTGTTTTCTGCGATGGCGTTGGTCAGGTGTAGTGATGAAATCGGCCCTGTGTTCTACGATGGCGTTGGTCAGCCGTAATGATTACATTGGTCCTGTTCTCTGCATTTGCGTTGGTCAGTTGTAGTGATGATATTGGTACTCTGCTCTGCCATGGCTTAGGTCAAGAATAGTGGTGGCATCGGTCATGTGTTCTTCAATTACGTAGGTCAAGTGTAGTTATCACATTGGTCCTGTGTTCTGTTATGGTGTTAGTGCAGCGTACTATAATGGCATTGGTCATGAGATAAAACTTGTCCCGGTTACAGTGGTGGCACTGATATGGTTAACAATGATGACATTCTCACATGTTCTGTGAAAACACCAGTTTTGGAATGACATTGGTATCGGGTTTTGTGAAAGCATTGATACAAAACACTGTGACGACATCTGTTCACCAGACTGCTGTACTGTTATTATACCGCTATTAACTCGAACACACTTAAAGTTTTAAAAAGTTTTCAAATTTCTTGATAAACTATCAAATGAAAGGAGAACTGCATACTCTTTTCAGCTTAAAATGGCATTATTTTATTTTATTTTTGCTTGTACTGATGATGAATGCAATTAGTCTGATATTCGAATTCATTACATTCATTCCCCATCAACAGTAACATTTGAAAGTTCAGGCGACCTCCATTCTGTTGATTACTATGTGTGTGTGGGCTTTGTAGTGAATCAGTCACTGCAATAAATCATCTCTTATATGTACCAAATAGAACACTCATGTTAATTAAGATATTTTTGGTTCTGAAAATATAGTAATTTCTGTTTTAGTATCTGATTCTTGAGAGTGATTTACATGCATAGCTGTCCTTCTTCAACATTTACAGTGTATATTTAAATATCTTATTGATCTGTAAACCCGGTTTCTATTGCATATATCCTTGATCATGTCAAACAGAACGATGCAATCCTCGATAAACTGTGATTGTATAACCTAGCAGTGTGCCCTGATATAATGTCAATAGTTGTTTTCACAAATGTGCTGTATAAGGGGACACAGACTTCCAGATGGTCACATGATCTGGGGTGTAGACTAGGGGTCGGGACCAGTTATAAAGATACGTATCTGGAGCCGGCGCTGGTAATTGATTTCAACCAGTGTTACATCAGTAGTGTCCCTGCCACTGAATCAGAGATTAGTTATCACAACAATTACTGCTAATTCTACCGGCTTGAAATTTTTATAAACATGTGTCAGACAAATACGGAGATAACACTTCTTTTGTGGCCTCATCTGTGATTAGTTTCACTTGTGCACTTTAAACAAACACCGTCCTTATTGATTAGTAAATGAGAGAAAAAAGTAAGTTATGAACACATTATTGACTGGATTGATGGTGATGTGCATGATCAAATGCACCAAGGAGACACCCGTCTGTTAATGTTTGTGTCATACTTGGCTGCTTCTCGTGTGGACTGATAGAACGGCTGCCTTTGATCAGTCGGGCATGACTGGTGTACAATTTTACATGTCTCTGGTTTGAATGGCTATTTCATTGGAACAGTAATTGGACTGTACCGATTTACTTTCATCTTTTAGACATGCACCAGTAGAGGAGCAGGATTGAAGTTAATACAATTTACGTTTTATTTGCTGTCGCTTTCTAGATATTTTAAATTGTCACATGTCCCTAGATGACAAAGCTGGTGTATGGTGTTTCATGTGACACTCTATTTTTTGTGTATCCCTACTCCAACTGTTTGTGATACTCTTGGCTGTGCTATTTATCCCTCTTCTTACTCCAACTGTCTGTGATACTCGAGCCTTTGTCTATCCTCTACCAACTCCAACCGTCTGTGATACTCGAGCCTTTGTTTATCCTCTACCAACTCCAACCGTCTGTGATACTCGAGCCTTTGTCTATCCTGTACCAACTCCAACTGTCTGTGATACTCGAGGTTATGTGTGTCCCTTTACTTAGGCTCGGTGTATCCCTCCGCCTACTCCAACTGTCTGTGATACTCGAGCCTTTGTTTATCCTCTACCAACTCCAACCGTCTGTGATACTCGAGCCTTTGTTTATCCTCTACCAACTCCAACCGTCTGTGATACTCGAGCCTTTGTTTATCCTCTACCAACTCCAACCGTCTGTGATACTCGAGCCTTTGTTTATCCTCTACCAACTCCAACCGTCTGTGATACTTGAGGCTTTGTTTATCCTCTACCAACTCCAACTGTCTGTGATACTCGAGCCTTTGTTTATCCTGTACCAACTCCATCCGTCTGTGATACTGGAGGTTATGTGTGTCCCTTTACTTAGGCTCGGTGTATCCCTCCACCTACTCCAACTGTCGGTGATACTTTAAGCTGTGTCGTTTATCTCTTTTAACTGCGACTGTCGATGATACTCGAGGCTCGGTGTATCCCTCTACCTAGTCCAACCGTTTGCGATACTAGCGGCTCTGTGTATAATTCTTCCTAGTCCAACTGTCTGTGCTACTCTGGGCTGTGTTGTGTATCTCTCTAACTACTCAAACCGTCCATCTGCCTAGTCTAACCGTCGGTGATACGTTAAGCTGTGTTGTGTATCAACTCTTGGCACTGTGTATTCAGCTTCCCATTCCAACTGTCTTTGTTTCTAGGCTCATTGTGCCCATCTACCTACCCCCACTGTGTTTTGATACTGTTGGCTATTATGTGAATCCGCTACTCACTCGAACTGTCTATTATTCTACTGACTTTATGTAACCCTGTATCTACTTCAATACAATTCTTTGTCTGGACCCTCCAATGCAAGCAGATGAGGAACTGTCGTTGTTACCTTTTTGGTCATCAGGTTGCGTTCAATGCGAGCTAATGTGAACTGTTGATTTCAAAGGGCATTTCTTTTGTCTGTCCGTGTTTATTCAATAGGACATGATGTTAACTGTATGTTAGTTTCATTGAGAGCCACTTTTCCCGTTTATTTTAAGTACAAGATGAAATAGTCTGTCTACGACTTTCAATTGAGGCTGTCAATACGATTTGCAATGTGAGTTACCTTTGTTTTAATTTCAGTGCGAGCCGATAACGACGGTTTGCTACTTTCAACGGGAACTACATTTGTTTTAATTTCAGTACGAGCCGATTCTGGCGATCTATTACTTTAAATGTCAGCATCCTTTGTCTCTTAAACTTTAAATACGAGCTGATGCGGACGGTATGTTACCGTCAATGGGAACTCTTTCAGTATATATGTCAATATAAACCGATACGGATGTCTTACTTTTATGAGAATGTCCCAATTGATTAATTTTCAATACTAGTTGAAATAGTAAGTGTCTTGTTTCCAATGGGACTTCCATTTGTTTGGTCGTTTACCTTTCCAAATCAGTTGATTTGGACTGCCTGTAACTTTTGATACGAGCTTATTTTCGTCGCGACCCACATGCTACTAAAGATACGCGCTATTCTTAGAAATGTCGAGACCTCACTGACATTATACTACCGTCTTACTGTCTATCGGTGTGGTTCATATATTTTCTCCAATTTTATAATTTTTCATTTGTTACTCAAAGATGGGTCTTCAGATTTTTCTCCCTTCACCACCAGTACAGTACATATCGTCAGTCTGCTTGTCCAGGCGTCCCCGTTAGCAGTATTTCTATCTATGCTTCTATCAGTATCAAACATTTAATAGTGTGTTTAGCAGTTGCATGTCCTCTTTGATCTTTACGATCTGTCTGTTCATCCCACAGTTTATACTTTTTTCTGTGAGTCTCTACCAACACAAAGCATGAACCTAGCCACTTCCTACACATCGATTCATGTGTCTTTGAAGTGTTGGTTGATAGAAATTCCTTCTCTTTCATTTCTGGCTACTACTCGTAATAATGTGAACAAATAATTTGCCAAACAATAACTGGTCGGTAATTAGGCATCCACTGGAGGAAAGATCTGACTTCACCAATAACCCCGTATTGCCCAACAGGTTCTTTGTTATCAAAACTCGTGAACGCAATTATTCTGTTTTGATATTAATATATAGTGTATATTTCTGGACATTTGGTATGAAAAAGTTCTTTTTTTGTGTAGAGAAAGTGTCACAAATAGCACTATGAAGCCTGTAAAAATATTGTAGTTTTTGTATTATACACGGCTTGATAAATGACCGGCTATGTGGCTGGAACTAACGGCTTTTGTAGGGTGTCAATGTTTGTTATAAGTGACATAGTTAGTGGTAATATAACGAACACATGCCATCCCCACTGTTTGATGTTGTATATTCCAGTTTGTAATCATTATTAATATTTTCTATTTTTGTCCTTTTTAAGTAGCAGCCACAATTTTCTCTGTATAAAGTATGTGAAAATTAAATGTAATTTTATGATCGTTGTAGTAGAATTGTGAACATGGTAACGTATTTCTATTTTATGGCTGGTGATTTTGTTTGATTCTTATGTTTTTTGGAACAATCAATTTCTATCGGACAACTGACAGGTAGCTTTCTCTCTCTTGCTAAATAGTTATCTGCGTAACTTTGATGGTATGCTTTGCTCATGAAATTTGACCGTTTAAAAACCAGTTATACCATTTAGCGTTTGTGAAGAAAAATCTTTATGAAATATTGAAGGAATTATGACTCATTACCTTTGCTGTAAAAGTTATTTCATTGTGATGTATTACTCATTCATATAAACATTATTACCTTTATTACTCACGAACACGGAGTTTTTCATATCATAGTGTATCCATTTCAATATCTTTTAAACCATTATTAATATTGATATTGGAAATTTAATTTTTTAACCACAATATAATTTGCTAATATATACAGTGTTACTATTTCTTTATCACATCAGTGTTTATTTTGTTTGTATTTAATTTCAAAATGTAAAATGTATATTGTTAATATCGCGCACATTGGTCTTTATCATTTCTCTTGTGGCAATGTGATTTTGTTATTTTGTTTATTTATTTATGTGCACGTTTATATTGTTAACTTTTTTTTTATCTGTGTGTCTACCTCAGTAGTGATGTATAAAGTAGATCATCGTTGATACTGTCCATCTCTTTATTTTGTATATTTTGTATGTGCGATTTATTATTTATGAGTGCATCAGTAAAAAGCATTTGCATTCATCCTTTGTCATATGCACGTCAGGAATACATCCATTTATTATGATTGACGTTGGAATACAAACTGGCGGTTATAATTACTAGATTTAATGCTCAACCAATGCGAACGCTTAAACAAGGTTGTTGATAATTAATCATTCATATTATAAAAAGTTATGTAAACTGGATGCATTTTGTTTGTGGGTTGTGCTATGAACATACCCTTTAGTGCTGGATACACTTAACACGAAGACTAACGACCCACGGGTGTTGACGAAGCTAATTTTAATCATGCATAGTGGCAAGTATAAGTGCTCCCGATGCAAGACTATTTAATCTTATGTTGTAACAAAAATAGTTAAGAAACTATCATAAAATAATAACAATTTATTCTCGTATATTAAAAATCAATAAAAATATATTTTGACGTGTAATTATACAGTGAAAACAATAATATAACAATGTGATTTTGTATTGGTGCTCAACCAGTGAGGACTTGAGCTGTAAAAGAAAGTGGTGCTGTACCACCTCATCACTGTGATCCGCCTGTGGGACGAGATAGCGGTTATGGTGATGAAGAGTTATTAAAGTAGACTAATTGTTGTAATTCACTGCATTTCCTGCTGCTCTGCCCCTCTCCCCTCTCCTAGTGTACGGTGTGCTTGAGGATCAGGCCCGCGCTTACACGGGGTTGGACTTGTTAGTATTTCATTCTGCCTTATAACCAGACTTGGGTTTGTGTTTGATATAATTTGATGTGTATTGCTCTGTGTTTGAAGTTAATTCCAGCCAGTAGCTACAAGAGTCTTGGTGATCCTTGGCACTACATTAAAGACGTTAAAACGTTTGAACAGCTCTATGTCTGCACTGCTGCAGCAACAAGTCCGTCCATTGATATGCCAAACTACACGTTTTACACCCAGAGTGCACCCTCCCCAAACTGTGGTGAACAGACAAACCAGCTCTTTCATCAGCCTTCCATGTAATACTCTTTTTACTGTATTGAACGCTGCTGAAAGTAGTATGAAAAGCCTAACAACAATTTATCTTTACAAATTTTATACAATTTGTCTTTATATCCAGTCTGACAAATTGGTATTCCTGAAACTGAGTACTTTTTATACCACAGAATTAACTTTACATTTTATGACAGAATGTTTCACTTGAAGAAACATTAATTCATTTTTATTTTACTAATGTTTCCATTTCATAAGCTAAATTTGAAATTAAGCGTCACAAACAAATTGTTATAAATACTTGTAATAGATAAAATATCCTTTTGAAAGATATTATCAACAATCATCACATACATACGTATTTTAATTTTATTACGGAATGCTAATTTCATATTCAATATTTTCTTGACATTTTATGATGGAATGTCACAGTTTTTATTTTATTTATTTTTCAAAAAAAGATAATTTAAAATCTATATCATTTATGACTTACGAATTTGGAATTTTGGATGCAGTGTTTAATATATTCTAGTGGTTTGCTGAGTCTGTAATCATTCGTTAAACTGTACGTGTGTAAAGCCACACCAGATCATCCTGGTTTGATTCCTTGCTTATTACATGGTCGACTTACCTGGTAACAACGTATCCCCTCCCCCATCTGATACGGGTGGTCATAAACTAACTACTGCTGGTAAATCAAAACTCAATAAAGTTTTATAGGGATGACAAATCTATTGATTTGGGTGTATGCTTATTTTGTCGCTGGATTTCTAGTAAAAAAGTGAATGACGACGTTAGCTTCCATATTGGATAGTCTGTTTTGTTTATAAATTGCTTTTGAGAACATTTTTTTCAGGTCA